GGGGGGGGGCAGGTCTGCCTACCCAGAGCGGGTAGGCAAACTCGTCTGCACGTGCGTCTTCTCTGAATCACTCGGTACACCTAGTACGGAGTTGAACACTTCTTGCAAGTACAGAATTCAACTTGCAGTCATTGCACACTTGGTCTATCAGTGTGCGACTCGCCTGTGCGGGAGAGCAGGCAGCTCTTGCTGAAGGCCGCGTCGTACTCGGCGCCGTCCGCGCACTCGCACCAGTAGTTGCTGCAGGCCGAGTGGCGGCCGTGCTTGGACACGCAGTCCGCGTCCACGCTGCACGGCGCCAGCAGCGGCGCGCGCTCTGTAGGGCATGCACACACCGACCAGGGCGTCATTTCGGCTCACACACATTAGGGATCGTCCAGACAGCACATCCGTTACTATTTCCAAGATTCACATTCAGCAAATTGCGGGAGGTCGGCGCCTGCGATACTCGAGGTAGGCCACCCCGCAGCACACGCATGCACTGCGAGCAGGCTCTTGCCTACCTACCAGGCGCTATGAGGGCTGGCAGAGGCTGAACTTGGCAGGTTCAAGAGGACGATTGACGGACGAACTTTCTGGATAATCCCATAGCATGGGGTGGAAAAGTCAAGGGGCTCCCACCTCATTCGCGAAACAACTGACATTGTGGCGAGAGGTAATGACAATTAGTACACTTATGGGAGTAAAGGTGTGGATTTTCCTTTGAAATTCACACACTTACTTGTGCCTCCACTGTGTGAATAGCGTTCACACACACCCCTTTGTGCAGTTTGCACACCACACTCGGGTTTCCTGCTGCGGCGTTTTGCGTGAACGAACGCGCCGCCAGTTTCAGAGGGGTGGTTTTGTTTTAAATCACGACGGGTGCGGCACCAACGCTGCAGCCACCGCACCCGCCCGCGGCCCTGACTCACCGACAGAGGGGCTTATCTCTCTTATCTTATCTCGGCCCGGCCCGTGCAGCAGACAGATGTAATCTCCGACTAAACTTTCGCTCTCTTCTATGCTCGTGCCCGGATGGCTGGTGCCCCTCTCTTTTCCTCCACCCGACTTGGTAGTTAGCAATGCGATGTATATTGCTATGCGATTGCAACGCCACGGTTGCAGCAATACTGCCATCTATAGACTGGCAATTTAAAATAAAACTTTTTAAAAAATTTGGGAACCGGCGTTCTTTATCAAAACGGGAATCTTTTACCTTCGAGTAAGACAGACTGGCGGAACTGTCTATAATTACTATTAAATGATTTCGGAAAATAACACTAAAAATTCAAGACGGTTGCAATGTGGTTGTGTTGACTAGGGCAAGGAAGGGTGGGCTTGACGCTGAGGTAAAGGTCAGGGGCGTGGAGGTGTGGTGCCTGTGTATTTGCTTGTGGCCGTGCAAAGCTCGCCCCGCCTCGCACTTGAGCCTGTCTGTCTCGCCGAGGACTTCCCGCTCGCGGCACGTTCATGCATCCTGGGGGGCGGGCGGGCGAGCGGCCGTGCGTCGAGTGCGCGCGGACGCCCATGAGGACTTGCAGAGGGTCGATACGCCCACGCCTATGGGCCACGTCAAGGCTGTCCTCTTGCTGTCCCGTCGCTGTCCTCAATTATTTAATGAATCGAGGCTGTCCCCCCC